TGTAGCCCAGGTGCACTTTCTATAGTCCAGGTGCGATTTCTATAGTCCAGGTGTACTTTCTATAGTCCAGGAGTACTTTCTGTAGGAGGAAAGACAAAAAACATGTAACGATAGAAATATTTACAAACAGATAGCATAAGTAAAGACAGTAGCAGAGAGAGGAAATATGATCAGTTTGTCCTCCAGCAGTCTAAGCCTATAGCAGCATAACTAAGGGATAACTCAAAAAACCCAAACCAACCCTAAGATTTAGCAAAAAGGAAAGTCTTAATCCCAGTCTTAAAACTGGACAATGTGTCAGCCTCACGGACAGAAACTGGAAGTTGGTTCCACAAGAGAGGAGCCTGATAACTGAAAGATCTTCCTCCCATTCTGCTGCTGGAAACTCTAGAAACCACAAGTAAACCCGCAGCCTGACAGCAAAGTTCTCTGTTGGGAAAATATGGAACAATAAGATCTGTAATACAAGATGGAGCCAGGTTGTTGAGAGCTTTGTAGGTTAGAAGTAAGATTTTGAATTCTATTCTGGATTTGACAGGGAGCCATTGGAGAGAAGCTAAAACTGGAGATATGATCTCTCCCACTAACTCCAGTTAAGACTCTGGCAGCAGCATTTTGGATTAACTTAAAACTTTTTTTTGGGAGGTGGAAGGAATACTTCTCGGACCTTCTGAATCCCACCAGCACATCTTCCTTGGAGGAAGCTGAGTCGGGGGACTTCAGGGTTAGCCTGTCCATAACTGTGGCTGAGGTCACAGAGGTAGTTAAAAAGCTCTGCGGTGGCAAAACTCCAGGAGTGGATGAGATTCTCCCTAATTTCCTTAAGGCTCTGGATGTTGTGGGGCTGTCTTGGTTGACATGCCTTTGCAATGTTGCGTGGACATCGGTGGCAGTGCCACTGGATTGGCAGACTGGGTGGTGGTTCCCCTCTTCAAAAAGGGAGGCTGGAGGTTGTGCTCCAATTACAGGGGCATCACTCTCCTTAGATTCCCTGGTAAGGTCTATTCAGGGTACTGGAGAAGCGAGTCCAGTCGTTGGTTGAACCTCAGATCAAGGAGGAACAATGTGGGTTCTGTCCTGGCCGTGGAACACTGGACCGGCTTGTTACCGTCACTAGGGTCCTCCAGGGGTCATGGGAGTTTGCCCATCCAGTCTACATGTGTTGTTTGGACTTTGAGAAGACTTTTGACCGTGTTCCTTGGGGTACACTGTGGGGGGTGCTCCATAAGTATGGGATTGGGGGCCCGTTGTTACGGGCTGTTCAGTCCCTATACAAGCGGTGCGAGAGTTTGGTTCTTATTGCCGACAGTAAGTCGGACCTCTTCAGAGTGGAGTTGGACTCCTCCAGGGCTGCCCATTGTCACCAATTCTGTTCATAACTTTTATGGACAGAATTTCTTGGTGCAGCCAGGGGTCAGAGGGAGTCCGGTTTGTGGCCTCAGGATTCCATCTCTGCTCTTTGCAGATGATGTGGTCCTGATGGCGTCATCATGCCGTGACCTTCAGCGGTTCGCAGCAAGTGTGAAGTAGCTGGGATGAGAACCAGCACCTCCAAATCTGAGGCCATGGTCCTCTGTTGGAAAAGGGTGGATGGTTCTCTTCAGGTCGAGGGTGAGGTTCTGCCTCAAGTGGATGAGTTCAAGTATCTCAGGGTTTTGTTCATAAGTGAGGGAAGAATGGAGCGTGAGATTGACAGATGGATTGGTGCAGCATCTGCAGTATTGTGGACTCTGTACCGGTCCATTGTGGTGAAGAGAGAGCTGAGCTGTAAGGCAAAGCTCTCTGTTCACCGGTCAGTCTAAGTTCCTACCCTCCTCTGGTCATGAACGCTGGGTATGGACCGAAAGAATGAGATCGTGGATACAGGTGCTTGAAATGAGTTTCCTCTGCAGTTCCTTTCCAGTTGAGGTGGTTCGGGCATGTCTGACTGGGAGGAGACCCTGGGGAAGACCTAGGACACGCTGGAGAGACTATGTCTCTCGGTTGGCCTGGGAATGCCTTGTAGTCTTCCCAGAAGATCTGGAAGAGGTGGATGTGGGAAGAGATGTCTGGGCCTCCCTGCTCAGGCTGCTGCCCCCCAGGCTGCTTGAGAACAATCAGAAAATTAGGCATGGATGGATGGATGAAGACTTAAAGAAGTTTTTTGACACCCAGATAATAAACCATTTTAATAGTCTAGCTTATACGTGATAAATGAATGGACCAGTTTTTCTGAATCATTTTTGGACAAGTTGTTTATTACAGATTACTTAGAGTAATACTATATTATACATATACACACATATATACTGTATACAGATCTATAGAGAGATATTACTTTAGAGTTTATTCATTATAGTAAATGACACGATGGAGATGTCTGACACTTTTTTAATGGCAGTCCGCTTCATCCCACTAAAGTTCTTCTCTGCCTGTTTTGGTTCTGCTCGACTCAGTTCCTTTATGAAAGCTCACATCTGAGTGAGACATGGCTCCATCTGTGATTTATCTGATGGGAGACTGTGACCAAGTGCAGATTCAACAATCTGCTGCTTCCTCGGAGAGAGAACTTTACTTGTATAATGTGAATGTTTCTGTTCAGAGCCTTGAGACGACGCATGTTGGAGCTACAGAAAAACAGAACAGCAACATGGGACCTCTTTCTAATTAACCAATGGCATGTGCAGAATATTATGTGAGATCTTTATTTTTGTGTTCAACCAATCACATTGTACAGTTGCTGCCATCCCATGCAACTTTTCTCCCACTTTGAGTCGTAGAAACTAATCTGTGAAGCAAATGAGAAGTTTTCAAGAGGTGTTCTAGATGCCCTCACATCTGATTCTTTGAAGAACATGTTCAAAATGCACGTGATGCAGATGCAAGGCTGAGTACCCCTGAACAAGCTTCCAGACATTGTGGAGACTCACAGATGTTCAGTTTGGTGCAGCAGAGTTAGATACTGGCTTGACATGTTCGATCAGCAAATCTGTTCCACCTCTGGTTCAGGTGGAGTACGAAAGCTTGAAGCATCAGATCAAAGTTCTGGAGGAGGAAACGGAGCTCCTCAACAGCCAGTTGCAGGAAGTGTTGCGCCTGAAGGACATCTCTGATGCTCAGCTAGAGGAGGCACTGGAGTCTCTGAAGAGTGAGCGTGAGCAGAAAAAGCACCTGCGTAGGGAGATTCTCCACCATCTCAGCATGTGTGGCGTGGCGTACACTGGCAGCGCTCATCTGATGTTCACCTCTGCCCCCCCCAGTGGCACCGCCACCCCAACATCGCTGCTCTCACCAAGTGCAGAAGACCCCACAAGGTGAGCGTCACAGACTGTTTCCATCAGATGTGCTTCTGAAGTTGATCAACAATATTTAAAGTTGAACTTCTCACAGGACTGTCACTGTCAGT